TTAATACTTTAAAAGTACTGCATATATTTAATTACATACATGTAGTTTACAAAATTACTTATAATTATTTGAGTGGTCAATTAATTGGAGAACGGTCGGTCATTTATTGGGTTTCTTCGGTCAATAATTGGTGATTTTAGTATTTCAACATTCAAATAACAAAATTAATATAATTTTGTTAATTTTTATTATAAATAGTTATTAATTATTATTAATTAAGTATTTAACTTTAATACAATCCATTAAAAATTGTTTTTAGTAGGTTAATAGATTTTTTATAGCTTAGTACAGAAAAAGAAAACCTTAATCGGTCAATAATTGGTGCATTTACCCTATTAATAAATTTTTTTCTAAATAATTAATTTATTACATTTTAATTAATTTTTTAATTTTATTTGAATAAAAAAAAAAATTTTTTTTTTGGTTTATAAAAATAGAAATTATTAATTTATTTTATTAAATTAATTATAATAAATTTTATTTTATTTAATAATTATTTATTAAATTTTTTAAAATAATTAATTTGTTACATTTTAATTAATTTATTAATTTAATTTAATTAAAAAAAACTTTTTTTTTGATTTATAAAAATAGAAATTATTAATTTATTTTATTTAATTATTTATAATAAATTTTATTTTATTTATTAAATTTTTTAAAATAATTAATTTGTTACATTTTAATTAATTTTATTTGATTAAAAAAAAAATTTCTTAAGTAATTACATTGAATTCTATTTTATAAAAAAAAATTTTTTTTTTCAGAAAAATGCACCATCTGTTTTATTAATTTTACTGATAATTAATAAAAAAAAAAAAAATACATACTAAAAAGCGCAATGACAGGATCAGTAGTAATATGTTGGATTAATTCTTCATCTGTAAAAACAGCAAGCGGGGGGTCTGAAGCTCGAGAATTATTTATTAAAACTAGAGCTAAAATTATAAATATTTTATCGCACAACATTTTCTATTTAAGGTAAGTTTAAATATTAATTCATTTGAAGTTTTAAAAATTTATTCACTCGTCCCCGGCGGACACGTATCGTGATTATTGTTGTACACTTATATACTATATATTAAGAAATAGTGATTTTTGTGGGTAAGAGAATTTAATACCTGGTTTATTGGTGGAGCTGAGAGCCGTTTCGCTGCTTATTGGTGGCTATTTTTAGTAACAGGTGGTCACCGCAATGTCGTTGAAGTTCTAAGTGGCGGGAAATTTTGATTATTTGAATTTCCCGGGGAAAAACAGGGTGGGGGGGGGGGTGAAAATCTAATATGAAAATTTTGGAAAAGTACTGAAAACTTGGATTTTTAGGAAAAATTAGGGGCTTTTAAGTTTAAAAAGTGATAACTCGGAAAATATCTGAAGAAAGTTATCTCCTAGGGGGCGTTTTAGATAGGAAATTTTCCGGGCTACAAAAAAGTATTCTTAGAAAATCTCTTTAGCCCAATATTTTCCACATTACACCCGATTTTCTACCTAAACTTTTAATTCTAAAAACAATTTAAAAATTTTTCCGATAAATTAACTTTTTTTAGTCAATAAAAAAAAAAGTATCTTCCTAAAATAAGCCACCCGGCTTTAGCCCGGAATTAAGATTCAATACGCTTGCATGAAATCCCAAACATTTGATCGAATTTCCCGAAAATAATTCTGTACCGCGACATCGCGAGACTTCCCGATATACAACTATAGCTAAAGTTTAAGTTAAAGTTTATCATCCCCCACTTTTCCACCCTCGACCCCTACTCTTTTACTTTTAGAGACTTATTTCACGTGCCTAGTATAGACAACAAGAGGTTGCACATCGACGGGCAGCTCAATACAAGCTCCCGAGATTACATGTATAATGCATGGAGTACATACGTACGTATGAATTTCCTTGTTATATATCAAACTAGTTATAGTTATAGATTACACAGACGAACAGGAGAGATAATATTAGTAAAGGGCTCACCAGCTAGGAATACCTAAGGGGAATTGCCAGTGGCGTGTTTTACTCATTCCTCTTCAGGTGAGTCTTGTTTTTACTTCTAAGACTAAAAAATTAGAAAAAATTTTTATTAAAAAAAAATAAGAAAAAAAAATTTCTGAGAATTTTTTAGTATAAAAAAATAAAAAATAAATTTTCTCAGAATTTTTCAATAAAAAAAAGATATTCTGAGAATTTTTTTGTAAAGAAAGAAAAATTGTGAGAATTTTTCATTACATAAAAAAAATTTTCTGAAAATTTTTTATAAAAAAAAAAAAACTTTTTTTTTGTGAATAAAGAAGATATTTCTCAAATTTTTTAGTCCTAAAACTTTTACACTCCCCTTTGCCCACCCACTGAGTTTTATTTGCGGGCTAGGAATTTCTATTGAGTGTACTGAGGGGTGGAATTAAATGGAACCGAGTATAGAGGAGCTTTTAGAACCCTTGTGGTCAGAAATAGTTGAGCTTTAGTTTAGTTGCTAGTTCTCCGCCCGAAAAATACTGCCGCGGGTTTTACTTTTTTTTGCATACTTTCATTTGTAAGTAAGTTACGAAAAAAATTCATTTTTTTCTAAAAAGAAACTTCAAAAATTCAGATTTTTCGCTTATAAAGTAAAAATATCGGTCAAATTTGTTTGATTTTATTTTAACAAACAAATTTTCCAATGAATTTTTTTATCAATTTAAATTATAATTAATTAATATTTACTAGCAACCTTACAATTTTGTTTCATTAAATAATGACTTTTGTTAAATTGCACTGTACTTTCTTAACTATTGACGTTTTTAAAGATATAAGCTCATCTTGATGTTACATTCATCAAGAGCTTTCATTTGAGTACCCACTTGGATTTTTTATATATTTTTCATACATACATATATATGAAATATACAAATATATGAAATATATAAAAAATTAATGTGGGTACTCAAATGAAAGGTCCCGATGAGTGTAATATCGAGATGAGCTTATATCTTTAAAAATGTCAATAGTCCTCAAGATCTAAGGTCATTTCTTAATTACTGACATTTTTAAAGATATAAGCTCACCCTGATGTTACACTCACCAAGAGCTTTCATTTGAGTACCCACATGCATTTTTGATATATTTTTTATATATACATATATATTATATATAATATATATAAATATATAAAATATATGAAAAAAATTGATGTGGGTACTCAAATGAAAGGTCTCGATGAGTGTAATGTCAGAATGAGCTTATATCTTTAAAAATGTCAATAGTTTACAAGATACAAGGTCATTTTTCAATTATGTATCCTGCTGACTTTTCTTATTTTTTTAATAAATATAAAATTTAAAAATTGCAATTAAATAAAATTTCAGAAAAAAATTCAAAAAATACAATGTTAAAATAACTTTATAACCATTTTCAACATGGCGGAAATTTTTGACCTGCTTAGATTCTAAAATTCAGTGTTCAAGTCCCGTTAAAATTTTTTTTTTTTTCTTTTTAAATAAATAAATCCTTTAATTTTTATTTCTTTGAAAATAAAAATAAAGAATCTTATAACAAAACAAAAAAAAAAGTTTGAGTAAGTACCTAGCAAGTCCATCAAATATATAAATAACTGTGGGGGTAATATAGTATAACTTGTCGAGTTTATAGTTTGTGTACAAAGAGCGTGTTATCTCAAGGGGTTGTAACACTGGCACTATTATTGTCTAGGTATTTTATCGGGCCCGACAATTGTATATCAGAGAGTTGCAAGTTGAGGATGTGCTGAATCCCGAGCGAGGTGAAACATAAGAATAAGACCAAGAAGACACCTTTGATAATGGGGGTTGAGTATGGCGATACGGACAACGCGGCGACGTACAACCCCGATGTTGAGGAGCTGATACGTCGAGAACAAGATCGTCGAGTGGTACAAGAAGGGACTGCTGTTTGGAGGCGACGTAAAGAACAACTTTTGCGCCAGAAACATCATGAACAGCTTCAAGTACGTTTTGTCTTTTTACTTCTTCAGAGTTTTGCTCTTCGAGTAGAACTTTAATAGCTATTTTTTTTTACATTATTTCTCGGTACATTGAGTTCGTGATTGATTTTTTTCGGCGGGTGGAAATGGAAATTTATTTTAAAATAAGTATATCGAAGATAAAGAAAAATTTGTGTACTTTCTTAACTATTGACATTTTTGAAGATATAAGCTCATCCCGATGTTACACTCATCAAGAGCTTTCATTTGAGTACCCACATGCATTTTTTATATATTTTTCATATATACATATATATAACATATATTTTATAGATATAAGCTCATCCCGGTGTTACACTCATCCAGAGCTTTCATTTGAGTACCCACATCAATTTTTAATATATTTTATATATTTAGTATATTATTAATATATAAAATAATTATTAATATATATAAATATATGAAAAATTGATGTGGGTACTCAAATGAAAGCTCTTGATAAGTGTAATGTTCGGGTGAGCTTATATCTGTAAAACTGTCAATAATTAAGAAATTATATTGTATTCTATGAAGTTATCATATTTTTAATGATATAAGCTCATTATGATGTTACACTCATCAAGAGCTATCATTTGAGTACCCACATGCATTTTTGATATTTTTTTCATATTATACATATATATATATATATATAAATATATGAAAAATTGATGTGGGTACTCAAATGAAAGGTCTTGATTAGTTTAACATCGAGATGAGCTTATATCTTGAAAAATGTCAGTAGTTCTCAATATACAAGGTAATTTCTTAATTATTGACATTTTTAAAGATATAAGCTCATCCCGATGTTAAACTCATCAAGAGCTTTCATTTGAGTCCCCACATGCATTTTTGATATATTTTTTATATATACATATATATAATATATATAAATATATAAAATATATGAAAAATTGATGTGGGCATTCAAATGAAAGGTCTTGATAAGTGTAATGTCAGGATGAGCTTATATCTTTAAAATTGTCAATATAATTTAGATTAAATTTTTTTTTTTTTAATTAAACATCAAAAATATGAAAAAATAATAAAAAACTTTTTTCTATACAAAATTAAATTACCTACAAAAAATGTCCTTAGAACTTTTTTTTATATTAAATATTTCACCTAAAATTCCAAAATTATCAAAAAAATTCAACACATTAAAACTTTCTTATTAAAATATTAATCAGAATTTAATAATACTAACACTATAAGCTCAAACAATATGATTCGTTAAGTTCTGTAATTAATTAGCCAAGTTATCCGGTATCTCAGTAGCCCATAAAGGACTTGAGGCGTTATTTAATAAATAGTATTACTTCCTTTTCCCTTCCCTTCTCTTCTCTCTCAAAGTTATCTATTCATTCATTCAAATAGATATTACTATTACTATTACTATTACAGTCTCCTATCGTTGGGTGTGTAACCAAAGTCTCAACTTTCCAGATATTACCTTCTGCGCTTCAACAACTCTTGCCACTCATAGACTCTATACTCTAGACTCTGCTATACAAGCATATAAATTAGCATAATCTCAAAAACTACTTAAAGACAGATTTCACCCCCGGCTAGTGGAAGCTCGCGACAAGTTTTATATTTTATACATACATATATATATATATATATATATATATA